CAATGATACTGCTGATAGTTTACCTGGTAATTATTACCAGTATAATGACAACAATAATACTGCTGATAGTTTACTGGTAATTATTACCAGTATAATGGACAACAATAATACTGCTGATAGTTTACTGGTAATTATTACAGTATAATGACAACAATAATACTGTGATAGTTTACTGGTAATTATTACCAGTATAATGACAACAATAATATGCTGATAGTTTACCTGGTAATTATTACCAGTATAATGACAACAATGATACTGCTGATAGTTTACCTGGTAATTATTACCAGTATAATGACAACAATAATACTGCTGATAGTTTACCTGGTAATTATTACCAGTATAATGACAACAATGATACTGCTGATAGTTTACCTGGTAATTATTACAGTATAATGACAACAATAATACTGCTGATAGTTTACTGGTAATTATTACCAGTATAATGACAACAATATACTGATGATATTTTTACCTGGTAATTATTACCAGTATAATGACAACAATAATACTGCTGATAGTTTACCTGGTAATTATTACCAGTATAATGACAACAATAATACTGCTGATAGTTTACCTGGTAATTATTACCCAGTATAATGACAACAATGATACTGCTGATAGTTTACCTGGTAATTATTACCAGTATAATGACAACAATAATTACTGCTGATAGTTTACCTGGTAATTATTACCAGTATAATGACAACAATGATACTGCTGATAGTTTACCTGGTAATTTATTACCAGTATAATGACAACAATTAATACTGCTGATAGTTTACCTGGTAATTATTACTAGTATAATGACAACAATTATACTGCTGATGTTTACCTGGTAATTATTACCAGTATAATGACAACAATGATACTGCTGATAGTTTACCTGGTAATTATTACCAGTATAATGACAACAATGATACTGTGATAGTTTACCTGGTAATTATTACAGTATAATGACAACAATGATATGTGATAGTTTACTGGTAATTATTACAGTATATGACAACAATGATACTGCTGATAGTTTACCTGGTAATTATTACCAGTATAATGACAATAATACTGCTGTTAGTTTACCTGGTAATTATTACAGTATAATGACAACAATATACTGTGATAGTTTACCTGGTAATTATTACCAGTATAATGACAACAATAATACTGCTGATAGTTTACCTGGTAATTACCAGTATAATGACAACAATAATATGCTGATAGTTTACTGGTAATTATTACCAGTATAATGACAACAATAATACTGTGATAGTGTACCTGGTAATTATTACCAGTATAATGACAACAATAATACTGCTGATAGTTTACCTGGTAATTATTACCAGTATAATGACAACAATGATACTGCTGATAGTTTACCTGGTAATTATTACCAGCATAATGACAACATAATACTGCTGATAGTTTACCTGGTAATTATTACCAGTATAATGACAACAATGATACTGCTGATAGTTTACCTGGTAATTATTACCAGTATAATGACAACAATAATACTGTGATAGTTTACTGGTAATTATTACCAGTATAATGACAACAATAATACTGCTGATAGTTTACTGGTAATTATTACCAGTATAATGACAACAATAATTACTGCTGATAGTTTACCTGGTAATTATTACCAGTATAATGACAACAATAATACTGCTGATAGTTTACCTGGTAATTATTACCAGTATAATGACAACAATGATACTGCTGATAGTTTACTGGTAATTATTACCAGTATATGACAACAATGATACTGCTGATAGTTTACCTGGTAATTATTACCAGTATAATGACAACAATAATACTGCTGATAGTTACCTGGTAATTATTACCAGTATAATGACAACAATAATACTGCTGATAGTTTACCTGGTAATTATTACCAGTATAATGACAACAATAATACTGCTGATAGTTTACCTGGTAATTATTACAGTATAATGACAACAATGATACTGTGATAGTTTACCTGGTAATTATTACCAGTATAATGACAACAATGATACTGCTGATAGTTTACCTGGTAATTATTACCAGTATAATGAAACATAATACTGCTGATAGTTTACCTGGTAATTATTACCAGTATAATGACAAACATAATACTGCTGATAGTTTACTGGTAATTATTAAAGTATAATGACAACAATAATACTGCTGATAGTTTACTGGTAATTATTACCAGTTTAATGACAACATGATACTGCTGATAGTTTACCTGGTAATTATTACAGTATAATGACAACAATGATACTGCTGATAGTTTACCTGGTAATTATTACCAGTATATGACAACAATAATTCTGTGATAGTTTACCTGGTAATTATTACCAGTATAATGACAACAATAATACTGTGATAGTTTACCTGGTAATTATTACCAGTATAATGACAACAATAATACTGCTGATAGTTTACCTGGTAATTATTACCAGTATAATGACAACAATGATACTGCTGTAGTTTACCTGGTAATTATTTACCAGTATAATGACAACAATGATACTGCTGATAGTTTACCTGGTAATTTTACCAGTATAATGACAACAATAATATGCTGATAGTTTACCTGGTAATTATTAACCAGTATAATGACAACAATAATACTGTGATAGTTTACCTGGTAATTATTACCAGTATAATGACAACAATAATACTGCTGATAGTTTACTGGTAATTATTACCAGTATAATGACAACAATAATACTGTGATAGTTACTGGTAATTATTACCAGTATAATGACAACAATAATACTGCTGATAGTTTACCTGGTAATTATTACCAGTATAATGACAACAATGATACTGCTGATAGTTTACCTGGTAATTATTACCAGTATAATGACAACAATGATACTGCTGATGTTTACTGGTATTATTACAGTATAATGACAACAATAATACTGCTGATAGTTTACCTGGTAATTATTACCAGTATAATGACAACAATAATACTGCTGATAGTTTACCTGGTAATTATTACCAGTATAATGACAACAATAATACTGCTGATAGTTTACTGGTAATTATTACCAGTATAATGACAACAATGATACTGCTGATAGTTTACTGGTAATTATTACCAGTATAATGACAACAATGATACTGCTGATAGTTTACATGGTAATTATTACCAGTATAATGACAACAATAATACTGCTGATAGTTTACCTGGTAATTATTACAGTATAATGACAACAAAAATTTACTGCTGATAGTTTACCTGTATTATTACGTATATATGACAACAATATTACTGCTGATAGTTTACCTGGTAATTATTACCAGTATAATGACAACAATATACTGATGATAGTTTACCTGGTATTATTACAGTATAATGACAACAAAAATACTGCTGATAGTTTACCTGGTAATTATTACCAGTATAATGACAACAATAATACTGCTGATAGTTTACCTGGTAATTATTACAGTATAATGACAACAATGATACTGTGATAGTTTACTGGTAATTATTACCAGTATAATGACAACAATGATACTGCTGATAGTTTACCTGGTAATTATTACCAGTATAATGACAACAATGATACTGCTGATAGTTTACCTCCTAATTATTACAGTATAATGACAACAATAATACTGCTGATTAGTTTACCTGGTAATTATTACCAGTATAATGACAACAATAATACTGCTGATAGTTTACTGGTATTATTACCAGTATAATGACAACAATATACTGTGATAGTTTACCTGGTAATTATTACCAGTATAATGACAACAATAATACTGCTGATAGTTTACCTGGTAATTATTACCAGTATAATGACAACAATAATATGCTGATAGTTTACCTGGTAATTATTACCAGTATAATGACAACAATGATACTGCTGATAGTTTACCTGGTAATTATTACCAGTATAATGACAACAATAATACTGCTGATAGTTTACCTGGTAATTATTACCAGTATAATGACAACAATGATACTGCTGATAGTTTACCTGGTAATTATTACCAGTATAATGACAATAATACTGCTGATAGTTTACCTGGTAATTATTACCAGTATAATGACAACAATGATACTGCTGATAGTTTACCTGGTAATTATTACCAGTATAATGACAACAATGATATTGCTGATAGTTTACCTGGTAATTATTACCAGTATAATGACAACAATAATACTGCTGATAGTTTACCTGGTAATTATTACCAGTATAATGACAACAATAATACTGCTGATAGTTTACCTGGTAATTATTACCAGTATAATGACAACAATAATACTGCTGATAGTTTACCTGGTAATTATTACCAGTATAATGACAACAATAATATGCTGATAGTTTACCTGGTAATTATTACCAGTATAATGACAACCAATAATACTGCTGATAGTTTACTGGTAATTATTACCAGTATAATGACAACATAATACTGCTGATAGTTTACCTGGTAATTATTACCAGTATAATGACAACAATAATACTGCTGATGTTTACCTGGTAATTATTACCAGTATAATGACAACAATGATACTGCTGATAGTTTACCTGGTAATTATTACCAGTATAATGACAACAATGATACTGCTGATAGTTTACTGGTAATTATTACCAGTTATAATGACAACAATAATACTGCTGATAGTTTACCTGGTAATTATTACCAGTATAATGACAAACAATGATACTGCTGATAGTTTACCTGGTAATTATTACCAGTATAATTGACAACAATAATACTGTGATAGTTTACTGGTAATTATTACCAGTATAATGACAACAAATAATACTGCTGAGTTTACCTGGTAATTATTACCAGTATAATGACAACAATAATACTGCTGATAGTTTACCTGGTAATTATTACCAGTATAATGACAACAATAATACTGCTGATAGTTTACCTGGTAATTATCAGTTCTCGCTCAGTATTTAGTTCACAAAAAACTTGTATTAATACTTGGTGTTGTATACTTATAGCCACATTAACACAGGTTATAAACTCACTTGTTAACAGTAGATTAACAGATATACAAAGTTAACAAACACTGCTCAAGGTGACGACTGAACTTTGTTTACAAAATATTTCATCCAACATTGTTGACCAAAACTCTAACTCGTAAACAAACTCTTTACAAACTTTTATAGAAAAGCTTAACTTTTTTTATACTCCTCGTTACTACTCAAAATAATTATTGCGAATGTTGCTTATACAAAGAAAAGTAATCTGATACATAAAAATGAATGTGTTTACTATAGTTCTGAGACATATTGGAACCTCTAGGAACAGAACATCAGCTCGTGTTTACCTGGAGAGAGTTCCGGGGGTCAACGCCCCCGCGGCCCGGTCTGTGACCAGGCCTCCTGGTGGATCAGAGCCTGATCAACCAGGCTGTTGCTGCTGGCTGCACGCAAACCAACGTACGAGCCACAGCCCGGCTGGTCAGGAACCGACTTTAGGTGCTTGTCCAGTGCCAGCTTGAAGACTGCCAGAGGTCTGTTGGTAATCCCCCTTATGTGACCAGGTGTGGACGTGTCAGTGGTTCATTACTTTGTAATTTGTTCATGACTGTAACCATGTATAGGAGTGAAGCTGATTCATTACCTTTGTAACTTTCCATGATTGTGACCAGATCTACCTGGAGTTCATTACCTATGTAATTAGTTCAGCTATCATAACTTTGGGGTCCATGTATTCGTCTCTCAATCCTGGAGTAGAGAGGACGTGTGCTGCTGCTGCCCCATGGTGTTGACTGGGTGCAGTAATATTTTCACAACATGGCGCAGGCTTGCCGGCGTTGTATCAGTACAGTTTGTATTGTATTAACCAGTGGAGCTGTAACGGGGCCGTCTATGGAGTTGCTTCTACCAGCAATAATCAGAGATACCTACGGCATAGCTAATGAGGAGATTTGTGGACTCGCATTGAATGGTACGAAGATGAACTGATGTTCATCTGTACTGACAGTAGCATCATATCTGTACCACCATCATATCACCTGTACCAGGCTAACGAGAGGGAAACACAAGAGACATCGTCAAATCAACAATACAAAACTCCAAGGTTATAGGACGGTTATCCCTCAGTACCAGTCATGGGAAAGAAGTGAATAGTTAAACAGCCAAGGTTAATGTTTTAGTAGCTGACCTATATTCAGCTGACCAGTGTACAGTGAGAGAATCATAGGAGAAAACACCAGATATATCTATAAACTCAAGGAAAGTCAGATTGTAAGTGGCGTTTACTTCCCTCAGTGCTTTTAAAAATGGCTGAGTCAGCAGACTAGTATCATGTGGGAGTTCGATACGTGGATTAGGGTAGAAATACTCACGTAGGCTGTTATACGTATAATTACTGTTATGTGGAGAATGCCCGCCAGCCGTACCTATCTCCTTGCTTCCACTCGTAACACTGACTAGCCGTCTGGCCAGTACCCCGTAGTGGGTGTTTTGAAATAGTGACAGCTCAGCACAATAGACCGTGACTCAAGACGGTTGATCGTTGATTCAACGGACGGTTACGGTAACTGGTTACTAGACTGGTAACTGGTTACTACTACTGAGAGCTCGGCGACGCTAACGTATGTCGTCTCGACATACAACTAATACAAACTAGAGATGGCAGGTACACGGCTTGGGCTGATTCTATACAATGTCAAAGTACACAACATGAAACATTATAGTTACATAAGTAGAACATTGGAATGAAAGCTTCGTGACTGAAACTGTAATGCAATACAAGGTATATTTAGTACAATTTAAAAAACTCAACAAATGAACAACTAACTCAACATTGAGTTACAAAGTGATAAAAAAAAATTTTGATCGATCGATCTGTATTCTGTGATCTACGGATTCTGGGGAAAGGGAAATATATACAAAGAAAGGGGGGTTTTTTAAACAGAAAGGCAGATTCGGTGGAAAGCAAATCTAGATGTTAACTCTCAGAATGCGGAGAGAACACGAACAAAAAAAAAAAATTCTTGAATACTGATAAGTTGATACTGTAAATATTCATCTATACAGGTTATTTACATTTAACCCCAACTCTGCTAGGGTGTGATTGACATATGCAGAATGGGTGTCATCTTGGAGGATCAAACTCTGTAGCATTGGCTAACTCATGCTGTATTTGAGGCAATCTGAATTGGAAGTTACAAATGATACTTGAGGATTTCTAAATTTACCTGTCGTGTACGTAGGGAATAACGACATTCAGGTTGATCGTCTGACTGAGTATCAGAGGAAGAGAGTACGGATCAGGAGGATTGTCAGAGTCTGTCACATTAGTCTGGGTTGGAACATCATTATCATCACATACTAACTTCATATGATCCAAATGCGATTCTTTATACTGACCAGTACTAATCTCTCAAACCCTTTTATACTTTTTCCAGTGATATTTTCAACTACTCGATAAGGACCAACAAACCTTTGATCAAGCTTTGGAATAGCAGACGTTTTTTTAAAAATTAGTCAGCATAACTCTCAAACCTACTTTGTTTTTTGGATGGCTTTGATCGAGTGTTTGCGACTCTTGTAAATTATGCTGTTGATTTATGAAGTGTTTCACGGATTCTTCTAAAAACACTTTGAGCTAAGTGGTACGAGTTGCTATGAAAATCATCAGGGTTGTAATTTGGTTTGGGAATTAGAATATAACAACTCATAAGGCAAACTTTTATCTACACCGTACAATGCATAATGTGGAGTGTAACTATAAAAACATTGTAAGCAGAATTTATAGCACACTGCACATCAGGTAAAAACTTCATCCCAATTTTTCACTGTTGGGATTGATAGTGGCTCTAAAAGACATCAAGTACTTTCTTATTGGTTCGTTCCGCTAACCCATTGCGGGCAGGATGATGAGGAACAATGGTGGATTTAGAGATCTTGTACAAGGTACACAAATTTTCAAGAATTTCATTACAGAATTCACCCCCGTTATCTGTTACTAGGGACTTAGGGGTGGTATCCCTGCAGAAAATGCGTTCTTTAAACGCTTTAGCTACTGTTCGGCAGTCTTATCTGCAATAGGAACTAACTCGCAATATTGGTGAAATGGTCTACCAAAAACACACAGATGTTTTTTTACCTTGGAGGGAACATTGGAAATTAGTTAACAAATCTAGCGCAACTCTTTTCCCAAGGTTCGCTAGTAGTGGATACATTTGGGAAATTGGATTGGGACCATTAGCATTGCCTTTATGTTGCATGCAGACACTACATTTCCTAACTACTCAGAAATATCAGTTGCCATACGAGGCAAAAAGTATTTCAATCTGGCTTGTTTTACTGAACGATCCTTCCCAGGGTGTGCAACACTGGTACATTCGTGAACTAGCTGTAAGGCTACATTCACTAGTGACTGTGGAATTACTACTGGTATACTCTTCTGCTAGGAGTCCCCAATCGGCTGTTCGATACAGTAATTCTTGGTTCATGAGAAAGTCCTGATGGGTGCTGGTGGCTTCACATTCAGAATAAGATCTTCCTGGAGCAGGAATCGAATCACACCAGACCACATGGGATCTGTTCGTTGAGCATTTCTTTCCCATCTTCAGCACAAAATGGGGGTCTGCAGTTACTATACTAACATGTCGCGTAAGGCATCTGCAACTACATTTGACTTCCCAGGAAAAATGCTCAAAGGTGGGATTGAACTCTTGGATAGTCAAGGTCATCTAGCTAACCTTCCAGTAGGTTGTTTGTTCTGGAATAAGGGTATCAGTGGAGCATGATCTGTCAAGACATGAACGAGTACTGATAAATAATGTCTCGGAAGTGCTTTAAGACCATACTTTTGCTAAAGCTTCTTGCTCAGTTACTGTATAATTACGTTCAGCCTTCGTAAGGACTCGGCTAGAAAAATGCAACTGCGTTTTTACTTGCCATCGGTCTTCTGAGCTAGTACGGACCTAGCCAATTGAACTAGCATCAGTTGTCAGATAGAAAGGCTTAGAAAATCTGGGAAATTTCAAAATTGGAGCAAAAGTTAGCTTTTCTTTTAGAGTTTGGAATGCTCTTTCTTGACGGAAGGTCCAAACAAAAGGAGATCTTTCTTAAGCAACTCAGTTAGAGGACTGCAGCTATGGAAGAAAAATTGGCAATGAAGCTCTATAAAAAACCTGCTAACCCCAAACAAAGATCTTACGGCATCAGCAGTTTTGGGAGTTGGAAAATTTAGTACTGCAGTTACTTTACTTTGGTCAGTCGTAACTCCTCTAGGAGTGACTACGTGCCCAAGAAACTTAATTTCTGATCTGAAGAATTGACATTTTGACAGTTTGATCTTTAAATTTGGGCTTCTTCAAGCTTACCAAGTACTACATCAAGTCTTTTCAAGTGTGAAATCCACGTCTTTGACATGACGATTACGTCATTAAGTACACCATAGGTGCATTACCTATGAGACCTCTAAAGATATTAGTCATGACCCTTTGGGAAACGTGATAGGGAAGATCGTAATCCAAATGCCATTCGGAGGTAGTGATAATGACCTGTAGGAGTGGGAGAATGCAGTTAGCTCTTGGCTGTCCTCGTGAAGAGGGACTTGCCCAAAACCCTTGTAACAAATCTAGGGTTTGAAAAGACTTTTTTATCTCCAATATTACGTAAAGATCACCCAGTACAGGGAGTGGAAAAGCGATCTGGAATGGTTTTTGCGTTTAACTTCCTAAAGTCAATTACTGGACGCCAAGTCCCATCCTTCTTAGGTACTAGTATCAATGGTGCATTCCAAGGGGAATTGCTGGGTCCCAATAACTCCATCATCAAGCATTTGATTGATCAATTCTTCTGCGACAGCAACTTGTGAATGAGGCATTCTGTACGCAGGTATTTTGTAGGTCTAGTACCAGGTTCAAGTGGAATACGTTGGGACAATAGTTCGTTATACCCATCTTCTCCCCTGGTAAAGCAATGGCTTTACGACGTTTGTTCAGCAGGTTCAACAAACGCTTGACTTCATCTGGAAGTCAGTGGGAGCTAAGTCTTTCCCTCAACTGGTGGAACAGATTGATCCAGTGAGGTGGATGAGGTCTCCCCGGCAAAAATTTAGCACCGACCCACTGGTCAGGTGACAACTCATCCT